ACACCACGATGTCCAGGCTGTACTTCAAGCTCCTGAGGAAGTTTAGGGACAGAAGGAAAGCGACTCAAAGCAAGCCCCAAACTGAGGAAAAATAGAGTCATGGTGGACCTCTCATGTAGAGAAGTTCCCAGCCACTAAGAAGAACAGTGAAATCTCCTCAGAGAGAAATGAATAAAAAATGAAAAACAACTAAAAACTGTGTGAAAGTGTCAATTAAGCAAAGTAAATTACAACATGAAAGCAGTGACCTGGAGAGGCTGCGCCTCCTCCTGGTGAGGTGCCCTGTCTTAGGCCGTTACACTTACGGTCATGGTACCCAGGGTGGTGGCAAAGCCGTCAGGCTGTGGGCACGTATGAGGCAGAAACCAGGTCTGACTTCCGCTCACTCATGTTTGCGCTTTAGCAAACGACTATGTGGATTGAGGTGCGCACTGCTCAGTCCTACACCTGGCTCCTCTGCTGCAGCTCTGTAACTGCCTTTAGGAGGTGTAAGGAGTGGGCAGTCAGGCCGATCCACGAGCACGGCCTGGGCTGGAACCGAGGTGGGGTCGTAGCTGTGGAGGACGAAGCGCTGGGGCCTGAGAACACGCACCACGAACACACATCCGGTGTCGGGACAGGAGTTATTCACTGCATATCTACTGCACACCTGGCGGCGCCTGTCTGTCTGTGGGGACAGAGAAAACACAGGAGTAGAGAATAACCGGGTGGCCTCAGGGATTCACAAATGCTCCAAGGAAATTACAGCCGGCAGCTGTGGGACTCGGCTCTGTGACACAGAAGCCATCCTGCCAAAAGGCCGGGCGGGGTGCTCCGGGCAGGGGTCCCTGAGCCACGCCGAAGCAGGAGGGTGCTGGGTGCAGAGGGCTTTGGTCCTGTGTGTGAGGTGGCACCCTTCGGCTCCACTCTCCAACTGGAAAGAGGCAGAAGAGAGTGGGCTTGGCGGGGTAGGGAGACTGAGTCAGGGAGACCGAGGATTTCGGGTACAGAAGGCCACCCTGAGACCATGGGGGATGGGAGAAAAGTCCAGCCTGTTATTACGGAATGAACAAGAGGGCCGGACTTGGGGGCACACACCTACAATCTCAGCACCCTGGAGGCTGAGGCAGGAAGATTGCTGCGAGTTGGAGAACAACCTGGACTGCAAGTGAGTTCAAGTCCGGCTTGAACTACACAGTGAGACCCTGCCTCCACAACAAAACAAACAAACAAAACCGGCCAGGTCAGGCCCCCCAGCATCTGCTTCCTGGACCCAGAGCCATGGCCCTCTGCACCCAACAACGCTAGCTGTGAAGTCGACTTGGACGTAACGTGATCCCTGTCGCCGAGGGTCGCCCTCCCTCCCCTGTCTCATGTAACGTCTTTTTCTATTTTGCTCCGTGTGGAAGGAAGCGGCCCTGGCCAAAGCCGCTTTTAGAAACCCGCATTTTTGCCAGAGAAAGAAGCGTTCGCTTTCCTCGAGAGGAGGCGGCGGCGGGCGCTGTCAGAAAGCCACGCGGGGCTGGTCCAGCAGGTGGCAGCAGAGAACCGACGTTTCCCGCCGGGGCACAGCAGGGAGGGTGGAGATGCCCGGGCCTGCAAGGTTCTGCCGCTCACCCCCCAGCTGCCCCAGTCCTGGGGTGCGGATGGGGGCCAGGCTAGACGCCCGAGGCTCGGTCTGCAGGGTCCCTCTCCTCGGCCCCAGGATTCCCACTCCCGGCTTCGGGCTGGGCTGCTCCCTCTTCCCCTCTCAGGCTGGCCCTCTCTTCAATTCCCTTTGCGCTGCTCTGGGCGTGGCTTTCCTCCTTCGCTTCCACTCCAGGCTTGTTTCCTGATAGGACGAACCCGCGGCCTAGTGCACATCAGCCACAGGCTCTACCACCCCTTTACTGGTTTATTTTTCTGAGGCAGGGTCTCCCTTAGCGTGCAGGCTGGCTGCCCTTGAACTTGCACCCCTCCTGCCTCAGCCTTCCTGAATGGCTGGGTGCAGGTGGGCGCTGCCATATCCAGGGTTGTTACGAAGATGGTTCTTAAAGACCTACACTTCCTTCTCTTTCTTCGGCCACCCAGCCCACAAATCCAGCTTCCACAAGGCCAGTAGCTGACACATTGGGAGCAGGAGAGCAATTAAGGACTTCAGAGTTGCCTGTGCAAGTGGGAACTCAGTCTCTCACAGGGGGCAGTGTGTCTCTCCTGCTTTACTCCGTGGTTTCCTGGCAAGCCCAGGGGCAGCTGAGTGACAGCGTGCCACGCTGCAGGGGGTTGATCAGCAGGTTTGCTGAGACCGAGGGTCTTTCCTGGCTGCATGGAAAGATAGGGGTGGTATGTGGGAGCTCCACGGGAGGAAAGAGGAGGTGGAATCCACCCAAAGGGCTGCCTCAAGCTCTGGATCCAGACCTGCGGCTGAAGTTCAAGGGTAGGACCATGGCCAGAGAGGGCCAGCCACCTGGGAAACGAACGAGGAAAAGGGAGAAGAATGAACCCAGCGCCCGCCCGTGGGTGGTGGAGGGCCTATGCCTCATTCTCTCTCCCCTCCCCAAAGTCCAATTCTTTTGGAAAACTCAGCTTCTGTATTTAGTCCTAGGGCCACTGTGAGGTCTGCAGAAAAGGAGTTGAGGCCCACTCTAAGTAATGCGAGGTGTGTGTGTGTGTGTGTGTGTGTGTGTGTGGCATGAACGGGGGTCTCCAGAGCCCTAAACTCGGGGTCTAGAACCCACAAGAAGCCGAAGTGCGAGTGCTGAGCCGCGGTCCATAAATCTCCCTGGGCCAGAAAGACAGGCACCATACACAGATTCCTACAACGCCGCAAATCTCTCGAATTCTTAAACAGCTGAGTAAGCTGTGTTTCCTTTTCGTTTTGACTGTGATTATTTATTTCCATCTCTCTCTTTTTTTTGAAGCAAGCAGGTTTCATGTTTGAAATGATATTTAAAGTGAGTGGATGAGGTGTCCAACCCCACAGAGCCACTGCCTTTCTGGGTATTTCACCCCAGGTCTAGGAGAAGAGACAGCAGCAGCAGACTGGGCCAAGGAAGCTGCCAGAGGTGCATTCTTCCCGCAAGCAAAGCCCGGTGCTTGGGCTTGGTGACCTTTCTGTCCCGGGTCTAGGACGAGTTTGTGCTGGGGATTTTTAGGCTGAGGTCCTGGCTAACCAGGCCACCTAAGGATGAGTAGGGCCAGTTCTTGCACAGGTCACTGAAATCTTCCTTCCTTGATTCCAGTCTCTTTGCTTGGACTTCTAACTCCCTCCAGCCTAGTGTTAAATTAGAAGAGGCGGCCTCTGACGTTACCCTTTCCCAGGACAGGAAAGCAGACCTCGCTGTGCCTACCCAGGAAGAAAGAAGGGAGGAATTGCAAGGATTACAGAGGCCATTCAGAAACGATCAGAGGAAACCCCAGCCGATGCAGGGTCTTCCAAAATATGCGGCCGCATTTGGGGTCATGGTGCTGTAGATCAGGTTCAAATTAATTGGGTGTAATAGGCTGCTTTCCCTGGCCCTGCCACCGCCCCACTCAGGAGCTCTGGGCAGCTCATTTCGCCACCGCCCGGACGGCTTGGAAAGCAGAGATTAAAGGGAAAAGTCGCAGCTGTATATTTATATTTTCATTGCTAGAGGGGAATTGATTTCCGCGCGTTTATTTTGGTAGTTGTAATACACAAGGGCGGATTTGCGTCACGCGAGCAACTTGCCGGTGGAGATAAAGTTGCACAAATATTGAAAGGGGAAGTTCTAGGAGTCATTATAGAGTTTTTCTCCGGAAGAAATAAGGATTTCTGCAGTATCCTAAAATACTAAGGCCGCTTCTATTTTGAGACCAATCTCGCAGGCACATCCGCTCATTTAGTCCGAGTTTGAGCCCATCAAAAAACAGGAGATGACCTGAACTCTGGGAGCCCAGGGCTTCCTGCAGCCTTCTCGGTTCTGAGGACCCGGAGTGGGGAAGCTGCGGGCTCAGAGCAGCTGGGGCTGGCCGAGGAGGGAGCCCCGAGCAGGCCCGGGATGGCGCGGACTCCGGGCAGCAAAGCCGAAGCCGAGGCCTGGGAAAGCGGGGTGGTGTATGTTGGGGGGAGCCTGGGGGTTCCCCGAGTCTGCACCCCGCCCACCGAGGGCTCAACATTTGGAAAGCCTGCAGAGGCTGGGCAGGGTCGGGGGCAGCGTGAACGCGCCTCTCTGGGGGCCCAGAGCGTGGGGGTTAGCCCACTTGGGTCAGAAGCGCCCGGGACAGAGGGCGCCGGCGCTCCCACAGGCCCTCGCTAGGGAGGCCGAGCCCGCACGGCCCGGACCCCGCGCCTTCAGTTATCCGGGCCTGCGCGCTGCGGGGAATAGCGGGAGCCACCGAGTGTCCGGCCACGCCGGTCAGGGCATCGAAAACGAGACCTTTCGCGGTTTCACGTCGTCCTTATTTTATTTTCTTCCTGAAAACGTGCGAGGAGGGCGCGTGCGGCAGCCTGTGGTTTGCGGGGGACAGGGGGAGTCCGCTGGCCTGCGGCGCAAAAACGGATGGATTCCTAAAACAGGTGCCGTCGCGGGCCCCGCCCGAGCCCCGCAATCGGGCCCCGCGGCACCGGCGCCACGTGCGGGCCGCGGCCTGGGCTGCGCTTCCTGCGGGGACGCGCGCCGCTCGTGCGGGGCCTGGAGGGAGCCGCTGCCAGCACCCACCTCGCGGCCGCTAAGTGTCTGCTTCGGGAGCCGCAGCCGGCCGCGCAGAAGAAACCTCGGCGCCTCCCCGAGGTCTCCGGCGGGGAGACGGGGCCGGCGAGGGCCCGGAGAGAGTGGGGCCCGTGGCCCGCGCCGGGCGCTCGGAGCCGCAGAGGCTCGGGGACCCGCGGGCCCTGCGCCCGGGGAGGCGGCGCTCGGCCACGCGGCCCCGAAAACATTGGGGCGGGGCGGGGCGGGGCCAGGCCGGCCGCGCCCCCTCCGTCCCCCCGCCCCCGCCCGGCGTCCATTGGTGGCCCGGTGGCCAATGAGCGCCGGGATCCAGGTCCTACCCGGGCCGGACTCGAAAGCTACGGCCAAAACTTGGGGAGTTTTTAGAGAGAAGTTTTTTTTTTTTTTTTTTTAACTCTTAATATTTTTTTTAACTAACGGATTATTGTTGTTGTTTTAAATTTAGCTCCCGGGGCTTAGCTGTTTGGGTTCGCGCCCCGTCGCTGGCTCCCGTGCACGGGGCCGGGCCAGGCCGAGCGGCGCGAACCCGGCCTGGTCTCCACCGCGCCGAGAAGCGAAAGCGGACCGAGCCGCGGCCGCCGCCTGTCCGCCCCGCGCCGCGCGGCCCAGCATGTTCGCGGCCGGGGTGGCGCCCTTCTACGCCTCCAGCTTCGGCCTCTGGTCGGCCGCCTACTGCGCCCCGGCCGGCCCGGGCGGCTGCGCCTTCCCCGCCGACCCGGCCGCCAAGAAGCCGTCGTTCTGCATCGCCGACATCCTGCACGCGGGCGCGGCGGAGCCGGGCGCGGGCCCCGAGGCGCTGGCCGGGGTCTCGGCAGCCGCGCTGGCCGCGCACCTGGGCTCCGCGCACCCGCACGCGCCCTTCCCGGCGGCCGCCAGGTCCCCGCTGAGGCCCACGCCGGTGGTGGCGCCCCCGGAGGGGCCCGCCGGCTTCCCGCAGCGCCTGTCCCCGCTCCCCGTTGCCTTCCACGCGCGGCCCGCGCCGCCGCCGCCCGCGCCCCGGCCCGGCGCCCTGCAGCCCCCGGGCCCGGGGCCCCGCGCGGGCGGGCACCTCGGCGCCTCCACCCCGGCGCCCTCCAGCAAGGACCTCAAGTTTGGCATCGACCGCATTTTGTCGGCGGAGTTCGACCCCAAAGTGAAGGAAGGCAACACGCTGAGAGGTAGGTCTCGGGCCGCGGCTGCAGGCCTCCCGCGGTCCGACCCATCCCCGGGCCCCAGGCCACCCCGGCTGCTTCGGGTGTTTCCACAATTGAGGACCAATGAGGGAGACGGAGGAGAAGAGAAGGGGTTGTAAGAAAATAGCAAACATCAGGTTTAAAATTCATCAGCTTTATGTAACAACAAGAAAGACAAGAGTCTAGAGATGTCCGTGAACTGGCTGGGTAAATACTTGCAAAAACGACAGCCGCGCTCATCTTCTAAATCTCGTACCTAGAGACAAAGTTGTGCTCTCCCGGCAGGGAAGGCCCTGCGAGCCCCTCTCCCTCCCATCTCTCCCGGGTTAGTTTAGGTGGGATTCTGCCACGGGCGCGGTCTGGTCGGGTGGCCGAGGCGGAGCGGCCTCCCCACGCTGGGCGCCTCGGAGAGCCGGGTTTCTTTCCCTGGTCTCTCCAGACCTAGCTGGGTGAGCCCAAGTGGAAGGCGGCAGGAGCGGTGACCGTCCTCTCCGTCCTCCGCAGACCTGACCTCGCTGCTGGCCGGCGGGCGCCCTACCGGAGTGCACCTCTCGGCTCTGCAGCCCTCCGCCGGCCAGTTCTTCGCGTCCCTGGAGCCCATGAACGAGGCCTCCGCTCTGCTCAGCCCCTTAAGCTCCAACCCCAGAAATTCAGTTCAGCATCAATTCCAGGACACGTTTCCAGGTACGGAAAACTTCCCGACTGCGGCCGGGCGGGAGGAGTGACGGAAATCTCAGGGCCGCGGCTGCCTCAGTGTCGAAATCCCGTAGCTGGGCCCGGACACTGCGAGGTCAGAGAGAGAAACCGAAAGGTTTCTGGGACAGCACTGAGCCTGCCTTTGGGGGCCCGGTGTGGGGGGCCCGAGAGGGACAGGACGCGCCTGGAGACCAGGACAGTGTGTGCGGGGGCTGGTGTGGCACCCGAGGAGTCGCTGCCGCTGGTCTTTACGCTAGCGAGGGTGGTTTACAAGTGGACATCAAAGACATAGCTTTTAATAAGCTACTACTGCAGCACATTTTGGATAGCCACAGACGCGTTTGCGTGGCACGGCTGCGTCTGCGAGAGCGAGCATAGGCCTGCAGTAGAAACAGGGCTGTGGCCCCGTCCCACCCCCGCTGGCCACGCATTCGGCTCTGTTCTCTCTTGGAATTACTCCTCCAGCCGCAGCGAGGCCTGCAGCGAGGCCCTCGCTGCAAACACAGGGCCTTCTGAACACCGAGCCTCGAGCTCCGATCCACTCCCAGGGCCGGGGTCGCGGGCCACCACCGGTAACTGACCGGCCTGGGGTCTCTGTTCCTGCGCCCGCCCGTGCAGGTCCCTATGCGGTGCTCACCAAGGACACCATGCCTCAGACGTACAAGAGGAAACGCTCGTGGTCCCGCGCGGTCTTTTCCAACCTGCAGCGGAAAGGCCTGGAGAAAAGGTTTGAGATCCAGAAGTACGTGACCAAGCCGGACCGAAAGCAGCTGGCAGCGATGCTGGGCCTCACGGACGCACAGGTGAGCGCCCTGGTCACCCTGGCCCGCTCACTCCGGACCCAAATCGAGCTCTGGAATTGGGAGGCCGGGAAGGGTGGGGGCGGGGTGAGGACCGCGAGATCTTCGGCCTCCCCCGAGCGAGGGTCAGCAAGTGCTGCAAACTTACTTGGGCCACCCCGCCGACTGAGGAACCCCGGAGCTGGCGCTGGGGCCTTGGAGATGCTAATTACCACTGGCCCTGCACAGTTCGCTGGAGGAGGCAGTTTATTTCAGGAGAGATAAAAACCCAAAGTCTAGAGATTGTTGTTGGCTTTTTCTCTTCCACCCTTCTCCCTCCTTCTCCTGGACACCGCTGCTGCTGCTGCTGCGGGATTGTGAAATCCCAGCTGAGAGGAAGTGAAAATATATTTCAAACGGAATTGCTTAGCTCCGCAGGGCTAGGAGTCTGCTGGGAGCCGCCGGCAGCCGCAGTCCGTTCTGCCGGCTCTGCTGGGCAGAAAGTCTCGGTGCTGGTGGCCCTCGTTGGAGGCAAAGAAAGAGCAGCTTTTCCTAGAACGCCCAAAAACATCTCAGCAGGTTCGGCCTGCTTGATTTTCCCCCCAAGCCAATAGGAAATCCATTGTGCCTGGATTCCTTTTTTCTTAGATTCAAGAACCAGGCTCTCTCTTCCTTTCCTTTCTTCTGTTTGAGCTTCGACCAAAGTGGAGGCCCTCATTCTGCCCTCCCGCCAGGAGAGGCCCTGGGGCCCTGACGGTGCCCAGCACGGCAAAGCCGCAGGCGGGCCTTGTTGGGACTCCTGCCTCTGCCCTCTGCTCTCCAAACACAGCGGGACTCAGCGCACACTGGCCCACCAGCCCCTCTGCTTCCACCAGCTGGGATCTTATTTTTAAAAGAGGAGCTGGAACTTGTGGAGACGCGTTGGGCCCCCAGGGGATCTGATATATTTATATGGGTTCTCTGTTCAGTCCCTGCCCTCTTCCCCAGTCTGCATATGTTTCATTCCAGCACTTTCTGAGGCCTCTGGAAAGTTAGCTTATGCTTCCCAGGGGCCAGGGTCCTTACCAACTCAGCAGAGCAGCTGCTGAGGAAATCCTCTTCACTGAAAGCCAGTGGGGCCGCCACCCCTCTGGGATGAACTCTTTGGGTTCCCTTCCCCCTTTCTGCTTCCCAGTTTCCTCCTGGGCAGTGACTTGCTTTGGGTGGAGGGCAAGGCTAGCCTTGAGCCTGGGTGCACTTTCCTGGGTCGGGAGTCCCTGACATTGATTTTTACTGGGGCCCCTGACCGAAAAGAGGTTAGAAGTGTGGCTTAGACTGCAGTGGTGGGAACCCGTGGCACTCGGGTCGCTGCAGCCCCCGTGTATCCTTGAAAGCTCTAAAAGGTTCGCTCTCACTGGCTCAGAGTCTGGAACTTCAGTGTTGTAGGGGCCACATTTGGAGAAGGCTCCTAGGGAGCTCCCAGCCTGCTTTTCCCTCGCCTGCCTCTGGGCTGTGCCTTGCCCCTCGTCTGGCTTCCGGTGGGGGCCGCAGGAGGGGTCCTGGAGGGGCAGTGCGGAGGTGAGTCAGCTGGAGCCAGCCTGCTGCTCACCGCCATCCCTGTCCCTCGCGCTCAGGTGAAGGTGTGGTTCCAGAACCGGCGGATGAAGTGGCGGCACTCCAAGGAGGCCCAGGCACAGAAGGGCAAGGACAAGGAGGCTGGGGAGAAGCCTTCGGGAGGAGCCCCGGGCGAAGGCGACCAGGACGAGAGGAGCCCCAGCCGCTCGGAGGGGGAGCCGGAGAGCGAGAGCAGCGACGCCGAGTCCCTGGACATGGCGCCCAGCGACACGGAGCGGACTGAGGGGGCCGAACGGCCTCTGCACCCGACCACGGTCATCAAGGCCTCGACCGCTGCTGCCCTGGTCACGGCGGGCGGTGGCGGCACTTTTGGCTTCAGCAGCCCAAGCGGCCTCGGGGGCACCAGCGCCAGCACCAGTGTGGGCAGCGGCACCTCGGAGCTGCTCCCTGAGCCCCAGGCCACCGGTGGCAGCTGCGCTCCCCAAAGCCCTGTGCCCAGCCAGGCCCCGCCGGGCGGCTTATAGACAGAGGACAGGGACCCGGCCGAGGCAGCTTCCGGGCAGGCTGGACTCTGCCTGCTCCAAGTTGTCTGGGGACTCGCTGGAGGTGGCGCCGGCCCCTTCCCCTCTGTCAGGCCCGTGCCTGGCCCTGCTCTTGGCCAGAGCAGCTCCCCCTGGGAAATGCCGGACTGAACTGCCCCTCCTTGTGCCCACTGGGGTCAAGGCATAGAGAAGTGCTGCACTTAGCAGGCCTGAAACCTGTAAATAAAATGTTTACTACGGTTTGTAAAAGGCCCCGTGGCTTACTAGGGCGGAGAGGCAGTGCAGGCCTAGGACCTCCGCCCAGGATGTGAGCTGAGTCACCTCAGAGCAGCACAGCCAGGTGGGGTGGCACAGCGGGAGAGGGCTCCGTCAGAGGCCATCAGAGGCGCAGTCCTGCAGAGCCCTTCGCCTGGCCCGGCCCGCTTGACGCAAAGGTCCGCACCCTGTGCGGGCACCGCCAAGTCCCTCGCTGGCGGGCTGGCCAAGAGGAGCCTACCTGTTCCGCACCTGTCTTTGGAGTCTCTTTGGACCGAGGTCCCAGGCAGAGTTGGAGGGCAGGAGGCGCCAGTGTCAGACAGGGGCATGGAGAGCGGCCGCTCAGTCCCTGGGACTGTCCGGCAGACCACCCCTTGTTCAGGGCATGCGCCGGGTTGGGTCTGCTGTGTCTTAATAATCACACAGTAGTTGTCAAAACAACTGGACAGCAAGTGGGTGACTTGCTGAGGGTTATGCAGAGGCAGGGCCCAATCAGAACCAGGCCTTCAGGTCCCTCGGCCAGCGATGAGTCTGACGCTGCTGCACCTCTTCCAACCCTACTCCCCAGAAGAATCTTCCCCGTGACCCTGAGCTGGGGGACTCACTGGAGCTGCTCTGCGGGCTCCCGCTGCAGCCAGGTGTGAGGGGCAGCGCAGAGCTTTGAGCCCGCTGCTGCCAGACGGGCATTGGAAGTTGTTTTGTGTTTGTTTCTAAGGCTTAAGGCTAAACCTCTTTCCAAAACCTATGGTCTATCCCGGGTCTCCTTCCCTCCAAAGGACTAAAAATGCTTTATGGGGAGATTCATTTTTGGCACCCAGGGGGCGAGGGCCTGGCGGCGGTCTGTCAGGCACAGCGGGTGAGTGCGCTGAGGACTGAGGCCCAAGGACTGGGCCCCTGGGCTCGGGAGAGGCTGCGGGTGGCGCTGGGTCTTCCTTTCTTCCCCACTCCGGCCTGAGCCGCTCTGGTCTTTCCCTCCTGTGCTGGGTGGGAAAGAGGCCACAGGTGTAGCCCCAGCTGGGCCGGTCCAGGAGCCCAGCCCCTAGCACAGCCAGGCCAGGAGTGCACCGCCCGCCGCCCCAAGCTGAGCCCGAGGGAAAGAGCACAGTGGGAAGGCGGGAGCCCCAGGGAGTCCGAAAGCTACTGGGCCAGGCCTAAATGGATCCCTAATTGTTTCCCAGGCATCTGCTCCCCCAGCTCTGCTGTTCCAACCGCTGGGGTCTCTCTGGGCCTGGACTTTGCCTTCATCACTCAGATTCACTTCCTGTGCTCCCCAAATACTGAAATTCTGGATCTGGAACATCCCGGGAGCTTTGAGTTTTGAGCCACTTAAACCCACTCCGGGAGTGCAGGCCGATAACTCGATGACGCCCTATTTTATGTGAGATTTGAGCAGGGCTGCCCAGGAGGGGCTGCTCCCAGTGCTCAAGCCCCGCCGAATCTTCCTGGGCCGGGGCTTGGACCAGGAGGATTTGCAGAGAATGCTGCCATGGTGGGATTTCAGGCTGGGTTCTGCCATGCCTCAGGGTTCAGGAGGGGGGGAACCTGGAGCAGGAATCTGGTGTTTCCAGGAATGCGGGAGGTAACCCTTCCTCCCACCAAGTTCCTGAACCCTCATCTCCTGAAACTCGGAAAGGATTTATCAGGGAGTGGAATTATTCTGCACTTCCATCTGAAACATAGCATCCCGAGCCCATAAAGTCTGAAGTTTATTTGGAAGAAGAGCAGCAGCGACAGGAGGAAAGGCTGTTGCATTTCAGGCTGTACCTCTGGTTCTCCGTTCTCCGCCGGCTCCTGGAGTCTCCAAGGGCTCCTGGGCAGTGGCATCGAGGTTGTGACACCTGAAGAGAAGCCTGAGCATGAATGTGGCCCAGAGCTGCCGGCAGCCTGGGGTGGAGGCTGGAGGGAGGTGATCCAGTGCAGGCCACACAGGACCTGGCTTCCCGCTGACACCGTCGACCGCTGTCTGACCTGGGTGGGCAGGGCCCCTCCTTGCCTTGCAGGAGTTAGAGCAGGGCCTGAGCTCTGCACCAGGGAGGGAGTGGGACCCAGGCTCCTGGAACGCTGGAGACAGCTTTTCAGCACGCCCTGGGTACAGCTGCACACAGACAAAGCAAGGCCTGAGCTGTGCACCACTCGCTGGGCCTGGAGTCTCTGGGTTTCCTGTATGACCAGATCCCCGAAAGTCCAGTCGCTGTCCATGGGCTTGCTTCCTGTTGAGTGGTCAGGGACTGAGGTGGGGTCCCTGGATGCCCCAGTGTGTCACAGGCCATGCCCTGTCCCCACCAAGGCCAAAGCCATCAGGCCCAAGGGACATCAGGGCCAGGTCTTGTCCCTCAGAGCCAGCCAGAGATGGATCCCTCCTGTCCTCACACCCTCTGCAAGGACTCAGGTCCCCAAGTCCCTCTGATGCCCTCCCAACCTCAGCTTGGCAGGAAAGAGGCCCAGCAGCTCTGGGATCTTTTCCCTGCCCGGGTCTGAAGGGCGTTGCTGGCAGGAGGCGGAGAAGCTTGTCCATCCTCTCCAGGCCTCTTCCAGGAGGCACTGAGGCCAGCACAAACCCAGACAGAACCTGGGCTCACGTCTTGCCCTGGGCAGGGACACACGTGGGGCAGTGCCCAGCCTGCCGCAGGGGTTCCTGCAGCCTTAGACTCTTGCTTTAATCTGTGGGGCTTTCAACAGTTGAACTGTAAACCAGCTCTCCATGCTGCCTGGCCGGACAGGCGCCCTCTGTAAGCAGCCCTCAGACTGGGGGCTCTGGGGCTGGAAAGGGGAGGTCAGTTGGGAGGCTAAGGGGGTTCCCTCCCTCCCCCCTCTGGCCTGTCCTTTCTAAGAGGGAGAGGCTGCAGTAGGGGCTGCAAGCTGGGTCCCACCCTCCTCCTGTAAGCCACAGTGAGGCAGCACTAAGGGCACCAAGAGGACCCTAAGCCTAGGGACCCATTCCCCCCTTGCTCAGATCTCTGGGTGGGGGTGGGGATTGCAGGCTTTGGTCTCCTGAAGACCAGGTGTTGGGTTTCAAGGAGGACTCTGGCTGCAGATGGGGAGGGAGCTGCTCTAACACTGGGTCCGGAGGCCTCCGCTTTCCCCAGTGATGGAATCAGACGCCTCTAACAGACTGGTCCGCTCCACGCCTCTGCGGGCCACAGGCGCTGCAGAATCCTGACTGCTGCAGGGTGGGGTTGCCCTTTCTAAGACACCCCCAAACCGGTTCTAATGGAGCCCCGCCCCACCCCCAGGCTACGGGCAGAACTGCTGGCCTTGTGTCCCTTCCAGGCCTCTGCGGCCCCTGAGCAGATTCCCTCATTCTAGGGAAGAGACAACCCAGCCCAGCCCACAGCTGAGGACACTTGCCCAGGGTCCCCTGAACAAGGAGTGCCAGGGCCTCTTGCGGTACACTAGAGAGTGAGTGCTTCCTTCTGGACACATCTTCGAACTGGATTCGGGTCTAGATTGTTCAAACTCAGGTTTTTAGAGGCGCCTGAGGCTCCAGTGGCCAGTCCTGGGTTCTCGCTGCAGTTCACACTCGGCCCTCGGCCTGAGCTCTGGCCCTGGTCCCAGGGTCCCAGCCACACCCTGCTTGCATTGCAGGACTGGGGTGCTTTGGGGTTCTGGGGACGGAGCATCTGCACCCGCTCCTTCCCTGATGGAGTCCAAGCTGCGCTCTGCCCAAGCTTGGCAGAGGGAGAGGCCTGTGAGAGAGGCCTGTGAGCAGAGGTAGCAGTGCACAGGACCCATACAGCCTGCAGGACTCAGAGCCAGGTCAACCATCCATCCATCCGTCCGCCCCAGGACTGGCTTCTTGGGTGGGAAACCCGTGGAATGGTTTGGCTTCCCTTTCCTCCACCGCAGCAGGGTAGGATTAAAGGCTCCCTGCTCGAACATTGCTTGCTGTGCATTAAAAACAGAGCCGAGCCATGGGGTCCCCCATTCTCCCAAGCGGTCAGGCATCCTTGGCTCTGCTTGGGGTCTTTGCTATTGTGGGCACGCACAGTGTGTGTGTGTGTGTGTGTGTGTGTGTGTGAATTGCTCTTGTGAGTTGGGAGGAGAAGCTGCAGTTTTCTGACGTTTAGAGTTTGAAGGAAGTTTAGGCAAGTATTTGGGATCCCAGGGGGGGAATTATGTGCCTGCTATTGAAATTCTGTCAGTACAAATCCTGCTTCCGGGATTTTAGGTTCTTAACACCATCGTGGGGAGGGGCCTTCAGCAAGGGAAACAGGAAATTTATCTCTTTGAAGGGTGAAGAGGTGTTTTGTTGTGTTTCGTTTTGTTTTTAGGTGCTGGGGATGAAACCCAGGGCCTGGAGAAAGTTAGGCAAGAGCTCCACCACTGAGCTCTACTCCAGCTGCTGCTGCTTTTCGGCCCTCCACCCCCACCCCTCACCCAGAGGCACTGGAATTGGACCCAGGGCCTTTGCACTGACCCACATCCTAACCTTTAAATTTTTTTTTACATCTTGAGACTGCTAAATCCTACTAAATTGATAAATTGCCCAGGCTGGGCAAAAACTTGTGATCCCCCTGCCTCAGTTTCCCAGAGTGCTGGGATTGCAGGTCAGGTTCCAGCTTCTGGTCAGAAGGGTCAGTCTCTGCTTCTGGTCAAAGAAATTCCAGCACCTAACACAGAGATTGGCAAAGAACCCATATTTGGTAAATAAACGAATAAAGTCCCTGTTGCGGCTTTTGTGTGGCTGTTCGCAGTGTCAGTGCATCCCGGTTAGAGATGTCAGCCTGGGGGAAGCCGCACAGGACCACCACCCCCCCCCCCGCCCCCGGCTGCTGTTGGCGGCGCCCGCCCGGGAGTCCTGGGGTCTGGAGCGGAGGCTGAGGTCCCCGGGAGGCTTGGGAAGGCGGCCGTTTGCTAAGGTCCATGAAGCGGGTGAGGCCGGCCGCTGTCTGCATCCCGGCCCTGCGAGGCGCCCGAGCACGGCCCAGTCAGCTCTGCGCACTTGCAGGGCTGTGTGTGCTTCTCAGAGTCCAGGAGGAGGGCGCGCCCAGCCC